GATGTACAGAGGAAGAAAAGTAGATTTTGGTGCTATACAAGTAGGGTGGGCACGCCGTATTTTTTGATCAGAAATGTATGTAAGAGGGACTACTGCCCGCTACCACACCGTCACGAGAATCAGGGAATTCGTGAGCCACGGGAGTGGAGCTAATCTAGAGGGCCTAGATTTTATTAACCTTGATAACTTCAAAAACTCAAAAGGACTTCAGCACTGAATGGAATGAAACTGAACAGGAATCATCTAATAGTTGGGTGGAGGAAATTCGTAAACGGATTAGCTAAAATAAGCCGATGTGGCACCTACCTTTATCAAATCGAGAATATCAATCGAGAAAGGAAGAAAGAAATGGAAAATTCCGGACAGGAATCGATAGCCGAAGTGAGCCGGCCACCAGAATTTTCTAGAACTGAGCGGGCGGGATGATTGATGTAAGAGGTCAGCGCTTTGATGATCGCAACTTTCGCGTCAAGCTTTTCGAGCAGAAATTACCGTAAACCTCCCTTGAGTGCAATCTACTCTCATCCCAGGGTAGGTCTGCATTCAGGTAATATTGGACCCAAACAGAGTCTTAGAAAGGTCTTTGAAATGACTGTTCCCCTTTTATGTTATTGATGCCCATGATCAACGATGATCGATGATTTTTGGCTTCGTGATGTTCAGAGGGTGGTCGGGCGACGGGGCATTGATCGCTTGAGGTCCTCGATATAGTTTAATGATATTCTTGAGCCTTAATATTCTCTTAACTAGGTTGGTTCAACCTTAGCTACCGGGGAGGGGGGGGGGGGGAGTGGGGGATTGTGGTTGCTTGAGCTAACTGGTTCACACACCTCAGAGCTTCTTCTGCAAAAGATTGTATTAATGTAGCCGGGACGAACTATTTCCACAATGACAATCCCCCCCCCTTCTCCCGGACTCAAGTGTTAAGAGAAATGGATTCCGGCCGCACTAAACTCGAGGGCCTATTCTATAATAATAGGAGATATTTTCGTGCAGAGTACATACGACCTGAACCATGATGAGCATTTTTTAATTAAAAAGTTCATAACAAAAAAGGAAATGCAAAAATCATGGACGGGCACAAAATGAGATTTAATCCCCGGACCGGACTCGAGGTAAAGCAGCGCCACTTGCCACTAGACCACTTCCGCCCTCGAATGGTAATAGTGAGGCTAAAATAGAACACTTTCTGATTTTCACTTGCGTTCGCTATTCTCAGCGGATAGGACAGTGTAAAAGGTGCTTCTAGGTTTTCTGGGTAAAATACCGCTAGCGAAGTAAGAGCTCCTCGTCAGTGGGATATAGTACCCTTTATGAGTTGTCCTGTGAGGATATCAAGCACTGACTTAAACATAAATCGGGTGGGGTCGCAATAAGTTGTATAGTTCAAATCCGTTACGATACAAAAAAATCAAATGATTTAAAGGCAAGAATCAGGATTAATTGATGGGGTGATTCCACTCAAATGTGAAAGTAGGGATGGGAGGTGGACCGCCAGTGGAGAAAAAGGAAAGAAAATCCTGAAATACACAAATACGAGCATTTTGCTCTATGCTGTGGAGAAGTTCAAAAGACAGGCAGGGAGATGAGAGATAATGTGAGCGCGGAGAGTGGTAGAGAAGTCCGAGAAGAGAGAGCATAGCAGATCAACGTGGCGACGCAGACAAGATATCGAACGGTGGGCGGACCATGTTAAGTTTGGTGGAGTCTGTTAGAAGTCCATGGCGCCTAGGGTCCTAGTGACGCGTTTCGATGTAGAAAGGTGGCGCTACCTTTGCACTTGCGTACCCAGCACTTCTAGCCATGGTAAGGGCTTCTTAGGTGGGTCTGAGCCCGAACTTTGCCTTTAAGAGTAACCAGAGCAGAGCGAGCGCGTATCGGTGCTGTACTGGGTAGGCTCACCACATCAAGAAATGAATGATGAATGGATCTATAACATCATTTCATATGTAGCATAGTTTTCCTTGATGAAATATTGACGTTCTCCTCTGTGGGATTCGATCAACGGGAGAACACATATAAGCGACGTCCTTCGCCATTGTGGCCAGTTCGCCACGTGGTCAAGCCCAACGATGGGGCATAGTGCTTCAGCAGGCCATTGTGGAATGCGTCTTTCATATTCCTTTACTAATCCGAGGAACTTTCCGCATACATGGCGCATATGGGAACGGGATCGTCCGGCGCCTGGCTTACTTCTATTTTCCGCGATCCGTTTGCGTAACAGAGGAATGCCAAAGTTTTCAGCAATGAGCCGCAACGATATGGATTTGTCGAGATTGAAATTGTTCAAAGGGACAACCGGGCCAACCACGAGGTAAATTCAAGGA